ATTTGATGGTGTGTATTTGATAAACTCTATTCTTACCTTTTTGTGTAATATTCTGTAAATTACTCAAAAATATAAATCACACCAAAAAATCTTGTGCATCGTGAATCTATTTAAAGCTGGCAATTTTCTTCGTATGGGTGGGAGGTGAGGGGGCTACAGGAATCTGTGGTCCTGTTTATTCATAAATTGCATCTATTATTATTATTATTATTATTATTATTATTATTATTATTATTATTATTCCAAAAGGTTGAACCCCAACACCCCGGCCCGACAGAGCATTTGAGAGGATGTAAATCATAGTGACTCAACTGAACATGAATCACAGAGGCTAGACCGGTGCTCACTGCGCACAAGGAGCCCCCTCGCTTTGAGAGGTTACTTCTACACTGCCGTTGGTGAGACTTGATCCCTGGTTATTATTATTATTATTATTATTATTATTATTATTAAATGATTCCCAACTGCCTCACCTTCCATCTTTTCCAGTTTCTCCAATCCCCTATTGAATTTCAATCCCAGTTTAAGCCAATCCTGTCATGACCTGCTGCCGAGATTGACGTACGCCTTTTTCTCCTTTTCAATTTTCATGCCCACAACTACAATTTAATATTTGAGGATTTTTTTTTCAATTAAAAAATATTTGAGGATTTTTTCTACATATGTATTAATGTTGACAATATTATATACAATCATATATAATATACATGATTGTATTGAATATTACTAGTGTTAATATTATCTAAATCTAAAAATATAATAACGGTTTAAAAAAAAAAAAGGGTCAATTCAGGTATATCTATGATTTATATCTGTTTTTTCTGTTAAATATTTTTTATATATTATGCTATAAGAGTTGTATTATACAATTTATTAGACAAAAACGTTCATACCGTCCAGTGCCAGTTTTTTTTTTTTTTTTTTTTTTTTTGGTAGCCCCGTTCTAATAAATAAATGAGACCCTACGACTCTTACTAAAAGCATAAGAAAAATATTTAAAACCAATACCGTAAAATATATGATTTTTATTTATATATTATTTTTCAATATAAAGAAGAAAAATTCAAACAACTTTGTTTATTATAAATAAAATTCTAACATAATGTAAACTAGAGATCTTTTATTTTAAAATAGATGTCCTTCTAGCATTCTTTGATGCAAATTCATCGATTAACTCTTCATAATCTACTTTATCCAAAAGATCATTTTCGATAGATATCAGTGCTAATCCATTGAGTCGTTCTTGTGACATTGTAGAGCGTAGGTAGGACTTCAACAATTTCAACTTGGAAAAATTTCTTTCTGCAATGCAATAGTACCAGGAATAGTTAATAAAATTCTGTATGCAATAATCAAACAATTTTAAATCTTTCAAAATTTCAATGAGTCTTTTTTTTTTTTTTTTTTTTTTTTTTTATCCTTTATGTCCATACAACTCTCTTCTTAATTTTAACTCCATATACAAGTCATCTCCATTAATATCTTAATGTCCATTATGCTTAAGAGCATTTTCAAGACGACTACAGGAAAACTTCAAACACATATCATCTAAAGAATTTAAACTTCAGAATTAAACAAGAAACCAAATATTTTCTCATATTATTGAAATTGCTCAAACCTACTTTTAAGAGAAATAACAGTCTGATCAACAATGAAAAGAAAATAGTTAACTCTAAATGAATCTTCGGCAGCCATAATGAAACTTCTAATGATGCATTTGAATTTTCATCAAATTATTTTTTTTTCTACGGATTTCAGAAGAAACTTGTGTTGTTTTAATTACAAACTTATCTAATGCCCCTCTTTGTAATCGTTGCAACTCTTCAATTTTTTTTTTTTTTGTTTCTTACGTTTTTCATAGCCAGATGCATGTTTTCTAATGCCGGGAGCCATAATATGAAAATATGCAATTCACATATTCAACCATTGAAATCAAAGTTATCAAACAACAATACTCTAACAAAGAGGCAATGAGCAAACATATTACACATTTTACATTTAAACATATAAAATTAAAAATTTAAAGTGAAAAAGAATTGAAACAACCTGATCGAAAAACCCTTATTTTTTTGTTTATGTTCTTCGTCTGCTACTGCCTACGGACCTAACCGACGCCAACCAACACTCCGGTGGCCGATGCGGTCTCCACCCTCCCAGTCTCCCGCCTGCAACAGTCTACAGACCTGCAAACACGCCGAATAAATTTGATTATAAAAAACGTAGAATAAATTACGGACAGTCTACATGATTTTATATACGGAGTACTAATTATTATATAGTTAGTCTACATGCCTAATGCCTACTTGGCTAATTTAATAAATTTAATAATAATGCAGAATAAATTGCGGACCTAATTGGCTAATTGCTACTTGCCTAATGCCTACTTTGCTTCGGAGAAACGCAGAAGCGGACAATTCCGTTCGTGCCTTCGTGGAGTCACTGGAGTGTCTGACAGTCCATGTGTGGAGTTGATTAGTTGAATTGCGGTTAGCGACTGAGAGACAGAGATGAATTGCGGACAGCGACTGAGAGACATAGATGAATTGCGAATAGCGAGTGAGAGACAGAGATGAATTGCGGACGTAGAAGAAACATCGGAAAACTGGGTATTGTAAATTTTTGTTTACGAAGAGTCGAAGAAATATTGGGAAACATCGCCAAAGATGAATTGAACTCTAACTCTTTTGATTCCTCTTAATCCTTTTACGTTTCATTGGATTAAAAAAATTGAGGTATATTAGGTATACTAGGCCTCTAAAATTTGGGGGCGCTCTAAAATTGGGGGCCTTGTGCGGTAGCCCAGCTTGCACAGCCTCAAATCCGGCCCTGATACCGTCATAACTTTTGTTATATTTTGTCATTATTATTACCATGTACATGCATAAACAATATATTTTATTATATTATTAATGGTAATAATGTATGTAGAGATGTTATTATAATAAGAGATAAATGTCAAATAAGTCATTCAATTTTTATGAAAAGTGAAATTAAACCATCGAACTTTAAAAAATTTCAAATAAGTCATTGAATATGAAAAAATGATGCATCAAGACCCTTTTTACCTCCTATATAAGGGCATGACCCTTTTTACCTCCTATATCAACAAAACAGTTTACAATGTTAAATACAAGGATACTTCGGTTTTCAATTATGATTTTTTCAAAAAAATAAACAAAAAATATAGCGATTCAACCTATTTTGTATTTAAAAAAAAAAAAAAAACCTGAAATGTCTTTGTATTTAACGACATTTTAACGATTTTGTTGATGTGGATTAAAAATAGTCATGTAACAATAATAATAGAACCAAATGATGATGTTATGATAAAAAAAAGGCTAAAAATGAATTGTCATTTATAAATCTATAACCAAAAATTGAATTAACTGTATATATATAGATAAATTTTTACGAATATATTTTTTAACTACAAAATTTCCCCGGGGTGTTTTTGACAAATTCTGGTTAGGCAACATTTTCAAATATGATTACGACTTCACCATTTATGTGTTTTTCATGATGTCACCATTCGCTATCCATAATAACAGTGCCCTTTAATTATTTATTATAGTAGTTTTTGTACGCCCAATTCGCAAAAATAGGTAAAATATTGGAAATAGTTTACTAGCTTATATATCATTCCATTTGGTAAATGTGCACAAAATGCTTGAATCAATAGTTTATTATACGCCAAAAGATATAGCTAGTTGTGAATGAACCATTTTATTTCTCTATAATTGGTCTGAATAGTAATTTAATGTCAGGATATTAGACTCGAGCTTTCAAACTTTCACAAAACACGTGTTGATTAGTCTGTCATAATAGTCTAACAAGTCAAGCATATTTGGTAAATTTGTAAATAGAGAAAATGGCATTTTGTGCCGATAAATTATAACATTTTTGTTCATCAATTATACCGTCGTCATTTTTCATCCCTCACTTGTTATCGTACATGTAATTTTTCTGAAAATATCATAATTAAAAGTACAATATCTTTAACACAATAAATCACCCCTTCAATAAGAATTACAAACATAAATAATGAACATATATATTGTTTCAACACCCCCAAAAGATTTATAGCTACAGCTAGCTAGATAACACTTTAGTCTATTCCAAAGGAGTAAATCAAAATTATAGAAATATGAACAAAAAGTTGATTCATGTACATCAGCATTGATGGCCATTTTCACCTACTCCATAAAATAGAACCAGTGTCCTTTTCAAGAACCCACCTTGAATCTTCTATTGTTATTTACCTAAAACAATAGTTTAATTACAACCACAATAATAATATTATTGTCTATAAAAGACAAAATTCTCTCGCCCCTAGAAGTCTCACACCCCAGCCCGTCACTCTGACTGAAAACCCCAATGTCTGGTGCTCATCACAAAGAACCACTACCCGTCTGGTGCTCACAAAGAACCACTACATTTAATTTGGGTGCAATTTTCACATTGTGGCTGTCAATCCTTAACTCCTTGCCCATAATCTGGCACTCACAAGTGGATGAATAAAATCAATAAATCACAGTAACTGAATGACTCATTATGTAGGAGGACCAGTGTTTGGTGCCCACAAAGAACTCATACTACTGGAAATTATGAAATTTTCGACCACCTGAAAGTGATCTTAAATCAAGTCGAAAACCTTGTTCCGACCACTTTTGGTATCCGGAAAAACCTTTGTTACTATTTCCGATCATTTTTTGCTTTCGCCTTTATTTAAGATTACTTTCAGGTGGTCGGAAATTTCATAATTTCCAGCAGTATATTAAGTTTAATTCCCAAACTATGGCAATCAGGGCCAGGCTCAATTATTTTATATCCTTGTCTATAATCTATCAGCTAGAAACCAACTGAACTGATTGTCGGGCAACATTGATAATATTCTTAATTCATCTTAATTAAGATTAAATGTTAAGAATTAAGCTAGGTGGTGTCTGATTAGGCAGCTTGTAGGCTTCCTCTTGTGCCTATATAACCCACTCCATATTAGAGCCTTGAGAAACCCACACCAAAAGTAGCTAGCCTCCACCCACCATCATATATTCATATCTCCCTCTTCTTCTCGAGAATGGTGATGCAGAAGGGATTATCTATGAATGCAAGGATTGTTGGGAGTGGGAAGCAGACACTAGTTCTGGCACATGGCTATGGGGCAGACCAGTCTGTGTGGGAGAAAGTTGTGCCAAAACTGGGGGAGAGATACCAACTTCTCCTGTTTGATTGGTGCTTTTCTGGTGCCATAAAAGACAGGAGTCTCTTTGATGGTGTGAAGTACTCTTGCTATGAAGCTTTTGCTGATGACTTGATTGGGCTTCTTGAAGAGCTGAACTTGAAATCCTGTGTGTTCATTGGCCACTCCATGTCTGGCATGATTGGCTGCATAGCTTCTGTTAAAAGACCTGACCTTTTCACTAAACTCATCCTTGTTGCCTCCTCTCCCAGGTAATTAAATCTTCAATTTTATTTCTTTTCTTAAGCTTAATTCTGCGGATTTGATTTGCACCCCCACAATCAAACAATTTGGATACCCGATTTTGGGTTGTGAACGGTGTAGATCGGCATAATAGACTTTGGGGGTGTTTGGTAAATAGCTGTTAGCTGTTGGGTTAGGGAATTTGTCTAATTGATAACATTAACTAACTTATTGGAGAGAGGTAAATTAGCTATTAGGTGATAGCTGATTACATGTAAAATGACTTTGACAGAAAGTTGATTGAAAAAGCTGCTTTGAAGAGCTTTTTGAATTTTAGCATTTTGGAATAATAAACTGTTCTACAAAGCTAATTAATCAAACACTCATATGAGTTGTTTAACCAAGTCAAACAGTTAAAATTGACTGATAAGCTAATTATGTTACCAAACAAAGCCTTTGTCGATATTCTTTACTTCAAGCTAAAGTCATGAAAAATAGTTAGTTATTATTATTTTTTGAATACTACTAGCTTTATTACATTGTAGTATCTGTTCATATACTTTCTCAACGTACTGAGGCTCGAACTCACAACCTTCCACATAGAAGTCCAACCCGAGTACCCTTGGACCACATAGTCCTGATTAGTTAGTTATTGAGTTAATACCCAAAATCGTCCTCGACTATAGTGGTTTTTCTCAATTTCGTCCTAAACGACTTTGGTGACCTAATATCGTCCCAGACTTTTGTGTTTCGCTCAATTTAGTCCCAGATTTTTGTATTTTTGCTCAATTTAGTCCCTCATTTGTTATTCTGTCCATTTGGTGTTAAATAAATAGACAATTCAGTAATTTTAATATTGGCATCTCTTTACTCATAGACATGTGAACTGCGAAATCCTTTTTTTTTAATGAATTACTCCCAGAATTATTCCTAAAACTGCGAATATAAAATTTGATTTGCAGGTCCGGGAGTAATTCTGGGTGTAATTCGTACAAGAAAGAAGAATTTCGCACTTCACAAGTTGAAATTAAAGATACATCAATATTGACATTACTGAATTGTCCCTTAATTTAACACAAATTTGACGGAATAACAAATGGAGGACTAAATTGAGCGAAACACAAAAGTCTGGGACGATATTAGGTCACCAAAGTCGTTTAGGACGAAATTGAGAAAAACCACTATAGTCGATGACCATTTTGGGTATTAACTCGTTAGTTATTATTAAAGTCAAATTGTAATTTTAAATTAATCTTGAATTTTCACTACTCATTTTAAACAAACTCGAGAGTTCAAAGTAGTTACTTGTTACGTAAATATTTATAGACAAGTAAAATAGCGTCCAATTATTCATTTTTTTTTCTTTATGACAAATGTTTGTTAAACCAAAACTTGAAATAAAATAATATTCCCCAAAATTCTTTTTTTTTTTTTTAAATAATGTAGCTCACATGTTATGGGCTTGGGGTTCATAAAATACTTTTTATGGAGTATGAACAAACAAAAAAAAGGCTGTATTTTTTTCTTTTAATATTTTATTATTTAATTTAAAAGGTCCATAGTGAATATATGAATATTTTGTTTGTCTCATATCAAAGCCACAAAAAAGATAAGGTTTGATCGTTTGGTAGGATAAAGGCACATGAATGTATGGTCGTCTTGTCTCCCTGGAAAAAAGAGAAATTTTGTTTTGACACCCAAATTTTATTTTTTATTTTTTATTTTTAATAATAATAATTATTATTATTATTTTACTGCAGATTCATAAACCTTGAAGACTACGAAGGGGGTTTCGATATATCCTACGTTGATGAAATGTTCGCCGACATGGAAACAAACTACGAGCAATGGTGCTCGGCGTTTGCGGCGATGGTGGTGGACCCGTCGGACCCTCCGTCGGTGGAGAAGTTAGCGAAATGCCTGAAGAGAATGGGGGTGGAGATCGGGCTGCCGTTGGCCAAAACCGTGTTCTTGAGCGACCACCGGAGCGTTCTCGACAAGGTTGTCGCTCCGGTCACCTTAGTCCACACGAAACGCGACCTCGTCGTTCCGCCGTCGGTCGTCACCTTCATGCACAGCCGGATCAAGGGCGAATCGGCGGTGGAGATTGTGAACACCGAAGGGCATTTCCCGCAGCTCACGGCGCATGAAGAATTTCTTGAGGTTGTTTTCGCAGCCTTGGGTTGAAAAGATCGAATGAAATTTGTGTGACAAGACAAAAAAATCAAACGATCGATATATATAGTTTTGTTTGTTGTTATTAATTATTATCTCTCTCTCTCTCTTTCTGATCTGATCTCTATTTTGGGTAGTGGAAATGAAGTGAAGTGGTATGTATTTGTGGTTGTTATAGTCTAGCAAAGTAGTATTTTGTCTTGGTTATAGTTAATTGGTTGGTTGTATGCATTGTCTATCTTGGTTGTAAATTTGTTCTAGTGTTTGTGATTTGATAAACCTTATACATTATTTTCCAAGAGTTTAAATTTCTAGAGCCAATAAGATACACAAAAACAAACTTGTGTTTTTAGTCATTTGGTGGGACATCAAATGTGTGAAGACAAATAGTTATGTCGCTTGACCACAAGGTCTTTGGCGTTACTTTGTCATTTAAATGTGTGAAGACCAACAGTTATGTCGCTTGTCCACAAGGACATCAAATGTAACTGTTTGATATTTTTAGTTCAACTTGGGTTTAAGACAAAGGGACCCACTTTCACATTGTTGTTTATTATTGTGGTTGAAAGTTTGAGTGCTATGCTTAGAGTTCAGGAGAGGGAGGGGGCTTTACATGGGGTGTGTGTTGCGCGACATGCGCCATCTATTTCTCACCTTCTTTGCTGATGATTGCTTGTTCTTTTTTCGACTTCAATTGTCTTTGGGTGAAATGTTCATAGGGGGGATACGGAGGTTGTTTGTGAGATCTTGGGTATTCACGAACAGCAGGGTAGGGGCAAATATTTGGGGCTCCCAAGGTTTGTGGGTCGAAGGAAGAAGGAGATCTTAGGTTTTATTCGGGATAAGCTGAGAGCTAGGATTTTGCATTGGGTAACCGGTTCTTATCTAGGACCGGGAGGGAGGTGTTATTGAAGATTGTTATACAAAGTATCCCGAATTATGCAATGACTGTTTTTTTGTTACCTAAAGGTCTTTATGAGGAGATTTAATGGATCATGAACTCTTTTTGGTGGGGTTGTGAGAGACGAGGGGGCCAAAAAGATCCGGTGGGGGACGTGGAAACATTACCAAATAGAGCTTATAGCTTATTAGTAGCTTAAAATAAGTTATAAGCCCTTAAATGAGCTCTGCCAAACACAGCTATTGCGAGAAAAGATTAGCTAAGGTCGCACGAGACGTCGTTAGAGGGAACGAGTCCATGACCGTTGGTATCAGAGCCGCGTTCGTGATTGGGTTGCTAGTTCGATGTGATGGCCAACATGGAGGATATTCGTGCGTCCGACACAATCGAAGAACGAGGGAGGGAACCCGTTCTAACACAAGGCAAGAAGAGGCGTGACTAAAGCAATGCAAGGGAGGCTGTTGCTTTGGAACAAATCGTTGGGGAACTTGGAGATAAACTCGAGAGGGTCGAGTTTAACTTTGGCACACTTGAGGAGCATGTTATATGGGAGCTCGAAAAGGCCAAGGAAGATAACTAAGTGATAGGGGATTGCCTTGACCAATTTGAGGAGAAGGTGATGAACATGCTAGAATCTTTGCACGCAAGCACCGAGTCGATGCGAGAGGATCTTGCACTATGCAAGAAAGCCGCTGTGAGTGGGGAGGCGACCGCTTCCACATCGAGCCCAATGGTAGAGGTTCCGCGACCTGCATACTTCAAAGGCGTAAAGGACGCGAAGGAGGTCAAAAATTTCCTTTGGCAAATGGAGCAATATTTCGAGAACCTTGGCCTCACCGATGAAGCAAAGAAGATCAAGAATGCTACCCCTTATCTTACCGATACGACCATGCTTTGGTGGAGATGAAAGCATTCCGACATCGAACGAGGGACTTGCCACATAGACACATGGGATGATTTCAAGAAAGAGCTCAAGCGACACTTCTACCACTAGAACGTGGTCTATGAGGCACGTAAACGACTTAGGAAGTTGAGATAACGAGGGTCTATCCAAGATTATGTGCAAGTTCACAATTTTTATGCTTCAAATCCCCAACTTGTTTGAGGAAGATTTATTATTCTATTTCATCGACGGATTGCAACAGTGGGCAAACAAGAGGTACAACGACGAAATATTCGATCAATAGATGAAGCAATTGTCCTCGATGAGTCGCTAACCAACTTTCGTTCCAATGTCACTTCGATCCGTCAAAGAGAAGATACATGAGTTCGACAATAGGTGGGGGTGAGCGGCACCATGTTCGAGAGAGGGAAAACCCAAGGAAGTCACCAACCATGAATGGGGACAAGAGCGTCGCACGAAGGGAGTACGAGGAAAAGAAGAAAACCTTCGTGGCTAAACTTGCATGCTACGTATGCAAGGGGTCGCATTGTATGAGGTACTGTCCAAAGCTTGGTTCGCTTTCGTCCATGGTGGAACAACACGATGCCAAGACCCACGAGGAAGAGGCAATGTTGAAAAAGACGCTAGGCGCCCCCTAGGTGCCCAGGGGGCGCCAATTTATTTTTATTGTTCGTATTTTTGTATTTTTTAATTTAAGCACTATGCAAAGTATGGCCTTCCCCATACCTTCTCTCACAATTCCCACCCAATTCCAATTCTCACTTCCACATGCCTAGCTAGCTGCTACCACCCTCCCCAATTCCCATGCCTTCTCTCACAATCCCAATAAATTAGCATGTAAACCCAACCCTTCAACTCCATCCCTAACTTATCTCTGCATTAATACATCTCTAATTTGTCTCTGCATTAATAAATTAGCACATAAACCTAGTGAAATAAATCAGCCACCTCCGAGGTGCTCAACCTTCAGACTTCATCAATCTCCCAACACAAATCCAAGGAAAATCTCCCCATTTTTAGTCCACAACAATAACATTGTACTCCATCTACCATCTACCAATCTCGGAGGCGGAGGCGACCGACGGAGGGGCGTGGTCGTGTGGGGTGGCTGGCGTGGGCATGGGGTGGACTGCTTCGGCGCTATTCTTAGTGAAAAAAAAAAGTTGAGTTGGTTCGGCCGGCTGCGGAGGAGGTCGATTCCAGCCTTCCTCGACGTGGCCGGGCGCCGCCTAGCGCATAGGCGCGATTTTTGCAACACTGGGAAGAGGAGATAAATAGGATGGGATTGCTCCAAATCCTCACCGCACTTAATGCCAAAACAATGTCAATGACGTCGAACAAAGGGCTAATGTACGTCGAAGCATTAGTGAACGGTAAGCCGACACAAGCTTTAGTAGATACAGGTGCCACAAATAATCTTGTGACTGAGAATGAGGCTAGAAGACTCGGTCTTCATTAGACGAAGGGGGAAGGTTGGCTCAAGGTCGCCAATGCGAGACCCCAACTGCTCAACGGCGTAGCACGAGGCGTAGAGCTATGATTAAGCACTTGGAAGGGCCAAGTGAATTTTTCTGTGGCACCAATGGATGATTATAAAGTTGTGCTTGGGATGGACTTTTTTCGTCAAGCCACAGCCATCCCCATGCCATCCTTTAACACACTATGCATTTCGGAAAAAGGGTCCTCGTGCATGGTCCCAACCTTCGAAGCTCCTAAGAGGCGAGTAAAAGGGTCACAACAACTATCAACCATACAAGTTGTGGAAGGAGCTAAGAAAGGCAAAGCCAACATTGTGGCCAATGCTTGGGTGGAACAAGCGAATTTAGCCTAATCGTGTTTAGAGAAATCACACAAGTGTAGGAAGAAAAAGCGCGAACAAGAAGCAAAGGCCACAAGAATACAAGCCACATCATGAGGCCATGGAAAATCAAAGTCACGGGTTATCACAAAGGGCACCACGTGTGGTATCTAAGTCTTTCGAGCATGACATAGACTAGGTGCTCACATCGAAGGTGATTCGTAAAAAGAGGAGTTCCGCCTCAAATACACTACCTCACCAAGTGGAAGGGACTGTTCGAGTCTGAGGCAACATGGATGCGAGGAGGATTTATGGCAATTCCAGGACGTTTGGAGGCATACAAGGCGACGAGGGTGTCGCGGAATTAAGTGGGGGAAGATGTAACACACTAGACACTTTGCTACACATTTCAGAGGTTTCCTATATCCTTCTAGACCTATAATTGGACTTTCCCATAGCTTCCCATAGTTTATAAAATTTTCTAGAAGCATGTATATAAACCTAGTAGTTGTAGAGATGTATGGAATATTCTAGAACCTTGTAGAACATTAGGGTTGTGTAGAGATTTAGGGAGGGTTCTAGATATTGATTCTTAGCCATAGGATCTAATAGATCTTCACCATCCATTAAGGAGGTGGAATGAGTATAAATACCCCTCATAGGGCTCATTTGTAAACAACCTTTAAAATCTAAGAGTTCGAGTGTTCAAAGTAATCCAAGAGTTCTCGTACGGCCTTAGCTATTGCGAGGGGAAAAGTAGCTAAGGCCGCACGAGACGTCGTTAGTGGGAACGAGTCCGACAATATGCTCAATTAAAGTAAAAGAAACAAACATTGTAAAAAATCAGAACATGATTTAGAACAAATATGATAATTAAGTGAAGCGGGAGAAACAAATGCTAACTACTTGTCACCTTGGCATTGATCTAAGGAGGCAATTTGTAAGATATTGATCATTCACCAGGTTTGCATTGAGTCACCATTCCATGATCAGCCAGATTTTTTAGTTACATTCCTAATTAAAGGGTCAATAACACAAATAGACAATTATGTTGAATGATTAGCTTGTTGGGGTAACTGCTCCATCACCACACTTATTCACTATCAGATTGTGAAATATGATGATATATCTCGTCACATGTTGTATATCCACCCAAACTAAGCCCACTACAACTCCATTTAATTAAAACCAATGAATCAATACCCTTGTAGTATCAAACAATCACCAATTAATAAGCTGAACTTCATCATCAACACACACCAAATACTAACCTAACCATGCATCTTAATCAACTGCACCCCTGATTGAGTAAGAACCTAACAATTTTGATGACTAAAAAACTCGGTCAATCACCAATAAACTACTTGATCTCCACCATTCTAAGTATTCAGTCAATATAACTCACTCTGATATCCCCAATCAACCCCAATTCCAACAAATAAAACCAAAAAGGGGCAACAAAAACAAACACACTCTAATATTCCCATCACATGTTATATATCCACCTAAACTAAGCCCACTACGACTATCAGTTATATGATCAAGAAAATTCACATGTTATATATCCACCTAAACTAAGCCCACTACGACTGTCAGTTATATGATCAAGAAAATAGCATATAATAATAATAATAATAATAATAATAATAATAATATACACATGACAACCCAATCAACGCACATGTTGTGAACCTGCTAAATTT